CCGGCGTTCGCTCACCTCTCGATCCTGTCACGGCTCTCTGCCGTGACAGGGTAGGGGCTGGATTCCCCCCTCCCCGCCAGCGCTGACTGGTGGATCGGACGGGTGAGGGTACAGCTGGCTCTGCCTCTAGATAGGCAGAGCCAGCTGTCAGTCACGCAGCTGGGCGGATCCCGGCACAATTGTCGGGATCCGCTTCAGCGTCTCAGTATACCGCGAGTAGCAGCTCGTGGTATACTGCGGCGTCTCAGTAATACCGCGAGCTACAGCTCGCGGTATACTGAGCCTAGGGTGACGGGAGGACGCTAGTTTGTTTCCTCCCGTTACCCTAAGGAGAACTATGGGGAAAAGACTTAACCCCATAGTTCTCTTTAAACCAGAACAATGTCTTACCAATCCCTGCCAAACAACATAACAAGATGTTCCTCCATTGTGTTGCTGCGGTATGCTCTGTTTAGCGCTCAGCGAGGTTGGCTGATTCTTCTGGAAACCTTTCTGCATGAAGATGTGCCGCCTCATTTACGTGTGTGTATGGTGGGGGTAATTGTGCATCCTGACAGGTCCTTGCGTAGTTTGTCTCTGGCATTCAGGTGCAGGCAGTCCTCCATTTTAGTCCTAAGACTAATCTCTTACCTCTGAAGCACCTTCAGTCCTTTCTCTTCATCGCTCCCGTCTTGTCACACAGGATATTACCTGTCCCATGCCCCCTGGCCTTCTCCCATTCTGGGAACCCTGGTTCCGGCCCGTATGTTAGCCTGGTTTCTGAAGCGGTGTCTCAGAGACTCCACTCCCTTCCTCAGGAACATCACTGACCCTTAGGACAGAAACAATGCTGTGTGGTACACGCTACTTTTCAGGGTAGCCACAGCTTGTACACCTTTAGTTATAGGGCAGAGATTTCATCTTTTCTTCTCCAGGAAGGAAGTGGAGGGTGTTGGGGGAACTCTCCAGTTGACCTTTTTTTTTTTTTTAACCCAACCCCCGTCAGTTCAGGGATTGGCTTCTGAGCAGGCCATTGGACCTGTCGCTGTTGATCAGGTATTTGCTACTTTTACTCTGTAGCCTATTCCGGTTGCTGGAGCAGTTCCTTCTTCCTGCACCAGGAACATCCCACTGGCTGGAGTACCTCCATCACAGGGAGTACCATTTGGTTCTCTCTGTGGCAGATGATCCTGCCTTGACTGAGCTGCTTGATTCAGATTCTATTGGACACCATTCTGGTGATGCTGTACCTTCACCTCCTGGTGAGGAATCATCCCCCCACCATGACAGGGGCAGTTGCCTGGTCCTGCCCCTATACAATAAGAGAAATAACCTTGTCTCTCCTGTGGTCATCGCCTTGGAAACTGCCCCCCCACCCCCCATCTGGATTGTCGGCAGGAGGAATGCCCATCTCCATATTGCAGGTGCTTGCTGGTGGGCATAGAGTCTAAACCACTTTGTGGGACTTCTTCACCTGTGAGTTGTTCCTTCTTACTTGGCTGAGCAACAGCCTCCTGTGGAAAGTCCTTCAGATAACTGCCCTTAGCATATCAGCTAAGATTCCAACCCCAACGCCCCTCAGATGTTGAGGCAGTACTGAATCTGGGGAGGACGGGTACTGTTTATGGTTCTGATGTGGTGCCACTGAACATGAAAAGGGGTGCAGGACGATGTGCGAGGTATCACATCCGTTGCTCATCTTCAGAAATCGACCAACAGGCTGGCAGATAATCACAGGTAAAAGGTCGCGGCTGTAAAAACCACATAATGTACATTAATATCTACACTGGAAACACCAAGTGCAGGTCTGTGGGAGACCACAACCACCTCAACCAGACTTGCACACGGGCTTCCTAAAGATTTGGAAGGGCTTTATAACTATATCTGTCCTACTGTAGATCCCAGCAGCACCCCCTCCCAGAGCCCAATCCAATGCATCTCGCAGGAGTCCAATCCATCTCACCAGAGCCCAATCCAATGCATCTCACCAGGCTGCCACCTCACCCGGACAGCATGTGGATCTCTGCGGGCACTGGCTATGCTGTGGAGAGTTGATCAGGTGGACGCCATCTCCAGAACTGTACTGCGCTTTGTGGGGCTGTCCCTGCGCCGGGAAGGAGGAGCAGGTGATATATAACCGGACAGGCATTGCCATGGACAACAACTATTGTCAGGCTGCCGAGGTCCCCACAAGCGCAGGAACGCACCAGCCGCTGCGGTTTACAAATTAAAGGAACGGTATCAGCCTTAAGAATATGGGGGAACTTTCAAGAGTACAAGTGCTCGTGAAAATGCCTGGTATCTGCCCCAATACGGATACTAGCGTCGGGACATCCCTATTAAAAACTGGTCTCGAAGGGTCTATTGGTCCAGCACAACTGTACCAGCAAGGACATGTAGTGACAGTTTTCATCATGACAAAGAAAAGCAGTAACGGATGTGCAAACCGATTCAGTTTTTTTGCATCCATGAACCTTGACTGAACTGATGACACATGTGAAAGGGGTCTTAGCTGGGAAATGTTTATCTGCACCATCAGTGAAGCAGAAGTTAAATGGGGACCACGAGGACCTCTACTGGTTGCTTGTCACCACTACAGTAATGCTGAAAAGTTGCCGTCTGCCTAACCTCTGATTACACATCATCTATTATAAAATAATGACACAAAAAGTGATGCTGAGTTACCGGAGCCGGTCCCAGAATGCACACAGGGAAGCATTTGACTGTTAAACATACTAAAAAAATATTTTTAAAAAAAAAACATGAAATTCCATTCACTGTGGATGAACAATTCTTGTACAAGGTCTCAGTGGATGAAGCAGACGGGTCCATTCTTTTTCCGGAGGACAACAATGGCAGCCCCCTTACGTCTGAGCTGTCTGAACCGAATTATGAATCCTTTGTTAGGCAAACAGTTCAAATATATTTATTGCAATGGTGGATTTAGCAGATTATCTGGAGATTAGCTTTGGAATAAATGAGACGGATCCTCAATAAAAACAAGAAATTTCGGGTTATGAGTTATTTTTAGACTTGCCATAGAGCACATCCATACAATGTTCACATACAGTCACCATGGTTGTATTTTATATTAAATTATAAACTCTGTGTATCCGGCCACGAAGCCAGCATCCCCTCTGCTGCCGACGACCCCGAGATAGATTCAATTTTCACATGTTGAGCCTTTGGTTCAAACTGACCCCAGATGAGCTGAATGACGGGATCAGCAAAGCAAAAATCACTGTGCAACATTCCTCAGCAGGAAGCAGAGCCGACGTCTGTGATCGCCATATCCAGAATTAAAAATAAATGACAAACTCTACATAAAAACTTTGTTATAGAGCATTGAAAAGGGTTCCACACACATGTAATTACATTCACATGTATATCAAAAGTGCTTTAAAAAACCATTTCACCCCTTCGGGACCAGAGCTCATTACAGCATTGCTGCCCAGACCAAATTCAGCTGCTAAACCAACGAGGGAAGCCCAAAATGAACCCGATTCACCCCTCAGAATCACCTTCTCTGGCACCAGCTGTTTTTAGGGAGCATTGGCAAACTGGGATGTGTCCAGCCCTGCTCTAAAAGCTGATAGAAGACCCCCAGCATACATAGGCTATTTATTGAATAGGACTTAAAGGAGATCTATGAGGTGAGTGATTTCCACTCATAGTTAGAGCCGACGTGTGACAAAGAAGCTGTCACAGGTCGGCTCTATCGATCGGGAAGTGAGCAGCACCATGCAGCCGATCTGCTCACTTCCTGATTGTCTCCCTGCAGTGAGCGGTGACACTCAAACAGCACTCCCAGCAGGGATTCCCCCCCTCCAGCGCTGAGTAACGGTGAGGGGTGGGCACAGCTGGCTCTGCCTCTAGATAGGCAGAGCCAGCTGTCACTCACGCAGCTGGGTGGATCTCGACAGTAATGTCGGGATCAGTCTCGGCTGCTGCGCTCTCAGTATATCGTGGGCAATAGCTCGCTATATACTGAGCTTTGGGTCATGGCAGGACGCTAGTATATGTCCTCCTGTGACCCTACAGAGAACTATGGGGAGAAACACTGACCCCATAGTTCTTTTTTAATACTAAAAGTACTAGATGCCCTTTAAACTGATCACATTACTCCGAAGGATGTCACTGTAAGGAACCAAACAGCCAGCGCTAGAAAATGACAGCCGGAGAACAAAAGTTTGAGTTTGACTGGTGATTGGGCAACTTGAAGTGACTAAACTCAGGAGGTAAATCCTAAAAATACATTCAGGCACCTTCACTATGAACAGAAATGTATCTTATTTGTTTAAAACTCAGCTAAATTGTTGCTGACACTGTCCTTCCTTCTAGAGGGGGGGCTACTTTTGTTCCCCATGGTCCCTGTGTGTGATGTGAAGTAGTCAACGCTCCAAGCTTTAGCTCCTAAAAAAACAATAGTGTACTTCCTGTGCCTGGGCACTCCTGTTCTGAATCCTCATAGTTGTATATCTGCAGTGTGAGATCATCTAAGGCACTGGTTTTCCGGACTGTTGCTCTCGCCAGATTTGGTGATGACACTACTATGCCGGGTCACTGTTCTCCTTGCTGGAGGAAGTTGTACCTGAGGCCCTGCAGTGTGAGCCTCTCCCTGATTCTGCACCGTCCATTCTGGGGACCTGTGCTTCCTCCACTGCTATCCTTACCCCGGATGCGAGGGGGGCACGACCCGAGGAAACAAAGCCCTCTCCATACAAAGATGGCCGCCTCCACACAGACACCTCCACACAGACACAGTGCAGGACAAGGCATCATAATTTAGTAATGGGAAACAAGCAAGCTGCCTACGGGTAATACTGGTGACTGGTCCCTTGTTCTCCGCTTGTCATTTTTTGGGCACAGCTTCTGCACATCAGCTCCTTTAAAATAAGTTATATCCGACATCTTCATAAAAACATCTTTGGCTTTTCAAATCGTTACAATGGGAAATTTACATCCCAGAATCTTCTAGTCAGCAGATGACAGTCGGGTCCATCAGCAAAGGACTGGAAGTTGGAGAACAACCTACACACCAAGCCGCGATCTAAGGAGCTTTTTTGAAGAAGGTATCCAAAGTCCGGCTGCCTTCACTCCGGGCACGCTTTGCACTCGGAGCCGAGAGGTTCTTAGTTTTGGTTTTTGGTCTGGCTGGGGGAGTCATGAGGGGTCGAGATAGAGAAGTGCTGGGATTAGGAACTGAGAAAGAGTCCTGTAATTCCTGAGCAAAGTGATAGTCCATGTGTTCCGGGATGTCCCACACCAGGACCTGCTGGTGACACTTCTCACAGCTCATCATGTCCTCCTCTCGGTGTTCTGGTTTCTCCTTCGCTGGGTCGGTGGAGGAGGAACTGACAAAGTCATCAGATAATTGGACCTCATAGGAGGCCCCTCCATCCTGAACATTACTCGGAGGTTCAGATTTCCCCAGGTCCATGGTCAGCTGTTGGTGGGATTTGGACATAAAGAAGGACCTTCGGACCGGCACCACGCTGTTCACATTGTCTATCTTATCCTCTGAGTTCTGGGTAGAAGCACCGGGAAGGGGTTCCTGTTCCTCTGTGACCTCCTTCCTTTTCTCCGCTGCTCTCTGGAACATCATTTGGATGGTACTGGGGGTTCTACTCTCTGAACTTTGACGCTCTTTCTGGGGCGTTTTAGGGCTGTTGGGTGACATTTGGGTGAGTGAGCTCGAAGGCATCTGGGTACCACCTGTATCCTTGGTGAGAAAGTTGGCAATTCCACTTCCAGAAGACGCAGTTTCTGTGAATTTACTGGCAGAGAGTGACAGCAGATTGAGTGCAGGAGACCTGCAGGGAAACAGGAGATGAATCTTTTTATGTATTACGCAAAAGGAGCTAAACAGTAGGGATGCACTGATACCGGTTTTTCAGTATAGAAGTACCAATATTTTTTTTTTTGGTACTCGCCAATACTGAGTACCGGTGTCGTGTGCCCAGATTATCAGGAAGTCAGGTGGCAGATACCTGTCGCCCGGCTTCCTAATTGCCTGTGAAGCCAGTCTTCTAGCGAAAGAACAACGGCTTCACTTGTTCCTGGCTTTCTGACCAATCAGGAAGCTGAGCGGCGAGTCATGAGGTGCCGTCCGGCTTCCTGATTGGCTAGGAAGCCGGCTTCACTTGTTCCTAGGCAGCCTGGCTTCCTAACCAATCAGAAAGCCGGGCAGCACGTCATGACCCACCTCGCGGCTACCCGATTAGTTAGGATGTCAGTCTGCCTAGCAAAAACTGAAGCCAGCTTCCTAGCCAATCAGGAAGCTGTGAGGTGGGTCATAACCCACCGCCAGGCTTCCTGATTTAAAAGGCTCCCTTGGCACTTGCGGTCACAGGGAGATCTCCCTCTGACCGGAAGGTCGGTTATCAGAGCAATCAAATACTCGGTATCAGCACTGATACTAGTATCGGTGCATAGCTACTAAACACAATTGTTTGAAAGACACAATATGAAAATTAAAGTTGTAGTGCTAGAATTTGTTTCATATTCACCCCCCCCCCCCCCCCCCTCCTCT